GCGGGGGGCGGTGGAGGATGGCCCAGGGCTCGGCAGCTTCATCTCCTGAAGACTGGAACGTCGTAAGGCCCCCACTGAGTCATGGTCTCACCAAGCCCTGAAAGCGAACGAACTTAGCAGCTCCAGCAGGCGGGCAGACTTCAGCCATCCCAGGTTTCTGGTAACATGTTGCCGCAGTCAATTGTCCAACACCGGGCCTGCGCAGCTTCGGGTTGATCACAGGAGGTATTGCAGGTTACGGCTCCTGACTGCTCTCAAGACGCCAGGTCACGAATCTGCACATCATTGCAGTTGTGCGTAGACACATTGTTGGGTCTTTTCCTCGATGCATCTCGAGTTCATGAGTCCAAGGCTAGTCGCAGGCTCAGGAGGTGAGCTTCGGCACAAGATTTTCACCTTTGACCCGGGTCTCGTCCACAAAAGCCACCGGCTATAGCTGCACCCACACAGTCTCAAAGAAGGCCAGGCCTCAATTCAGGCATCTCTTTTGCCTATAGACTCTTAGAGGTGCTGGCCTGGCAGAACTCGTATGCTGATGAAGGTCTGCTCCTGCCGCAGGTCCATCAATTGTCGAGTCTTCCTCCGATCCCAGCAGTTCCAGCGGCCCAAAACTGATCTTGCAGCCAGCCGCCACGGCCCCTGGCGAAGATGGCCGTTTTGCCCGATCGCAGAGGAGTGACAGAGAGCTGCTTGCATTCAGGGTGGGAGTGAAGAACTGTGCAAGAAACCACAGTCGACACTAAGCTCTCGCTCAAGCTGGGGTTGCGACAAGAGTCAACATGTTGGAGGAGTGTAAGTTGCGACGCCTCGCAAAGTTCAAGGCTGCGGCCCTCGCTGCGCAGCTGGCTGCTGCATGCTGCTGATGCTGCTGCCATCGTGATCTTCGTGTTGGGGCCTTGAGCCTGGCAGTCGTTCGGTTGCCCTGCCTAGGGCCATAGGGACCTCTGCCAGGAAGATCAGGAAGCAGCGTTCGCAGTCTGTCTGGCCTTACTACGCATTGCGTACTGAGCCATCCGAGCCTCAACTGACACCTGCAGGCTGCCTTCGGAACAAAGGGGTCCATCTTGTGCGAGCCCTTCAGGCCTGCAGGTGACCCTGGCTTGAAGACCTGCCTGCTGCGTTGATTGGTGGAGGTCCAGCTATCCTGGAATCATTCTCCTTGGGGACCCTCATGAAGGAACTCTTGGGCAGCGCCGTCCGCTTCGTTCCAGCTGTGGGCTGCACCCAGTCCAGTCGAGCTGAGCTCTTCACTTGCACAGCTTAAGCTCCCAGCAATTCTTCGATGGTTGGGACGACTCGCCATGACTAGACGAGGAGTCACAAGGAGTCGTGTACTCATGCCTTGCGGATACTTCTCGCCTCAACCTTTGATTCGCACCGATGCACCTGTTGGTGAAACGGTTAAGCTCTTCCCGCAAAGGCACACCCATGAGTCCATGAACTCTTCCAGAGAGCGTAATTTTGCAGGTTTGCTTTGGTAGAGAGTGCAGCGGGGAGGAGAGGAGAATCTTCGTGGTGCGTTCCGCCGGCAGACGTGCCTCTTCTCCGAACTCGAGCCCGAGCCAGCAGCTGATTTGCTATTCTTACACTGTGGATTCACGGGCATGCTGTGGCTGGTCCGGACTCAGCTTCCCACCTGTTCAGCTTATGGCTTATGCATTCAAGCCCGTTGGTGTAAGTCTTTTCTGCAGCCCATCTTCTTCATGCCCAACTGAAGCCACAACCCCGCATGGTTGCTGCTGCGAATCGGAGAGTAGTGATGATGGTTGGCTTCAAAGTGCGATGCAGAGCTCTGGCCTCTGAGACAGAGCTTCCGGCTCTGATAACATTTGCGACTTGGGCTGGACAGTTCATGCAAAGCCGCAAAGCTTCGATCCCAGCCATTCTCCCCGGTGGGGCGTGACTTGCCATTCGGCATGTACTTCATAGCATGCAGCGAGGCATGGCAATTTGCCCCTTGCGATTTCCTTTTCCTGGACCAAACCGCGGCGATCGCCTGCAGAAGCGCATGCGCAGTCTGCAGAGTCAGCAGAGCTCTGAGGGAGAGTGCCTGACTTTCTGAACTTTCTGGCAATTGCGGCCAGGCCCGATCCCCAAGTTTCAAGTTTCGAAGGCAGCCTCTGTCAGTGTGAGGCACAGGTTTGCCAGATTGTTCTGGCATGTCAGGGTTCTGGCCCCCTCTTGGTGAAACCCCTGCCGCTGATGAGTGTGTATGTTCACGGCGTTCACGCAAGGAGTGCAAAGAGTTGAACGACATTGTATAAAAGCACGAACAAGATGTCAGCAGCGCCACCTCTAACTTCACTCCATTGGTGCGTGCGCATTGCTAACGCACACAGCGATGATGCTCTCCTTCTCAAATGCCTCTGTTTGCCTCAAAGTCTGGGTGGTCTTTAGGCAAAGATGGCTGAGACAGGCACAGCGTGTCAACTGCGCAGCCCTCCCGAGAGGTATTCAGCTTTCAGGGGCTCGTGGCCTTTCAGGCACACGTGCCTTGTGCCTGCAGGCGCCAGCTGCACACAGAAGAACGCAATGCCTGGACGCTGAGCTTCTCTTGGCTAATTCCTCGGCTTCAACTGATGATCGCAGTTCCCTTGCAAGCCTTTTCTTCAAAGTGCCGTGGGTTCATTCTGTTCTTCTGCAGAGCTCAGCTGCAGGACCTCTGAGGCTGTAGGAACGAAGTTGCCTCGCAGAGGCCCTTTCTGAAGCTGTCATGAAGCTCTGGCAGAGCTCAGGCTTGCCTTCCGTGAGTCCGAACCTAATCGTTCTCTGCGCTGTGTCTCAGGTGCTGTCTGCTCTCGCACGGTCTCCCAGCGCTCCCAGCGCTCTTCGGATCATCCAGGGATGCGACGTTACACCGTTGCACGACCTGCAAAGGCCAACGTGAGTACCAAAGTCGTCTCGTGCCCACCCCTGCCAGGCCTTGGAGAAACCTCATCGGGCCGTCATAGGGTGTGCATCGCTTCAGCAAGCCTTTGGTGCAAATATGTAGAGCGCTCTTTGCCGGAGGCATTCTTCGCAGTAAGATGCAAGTGATGCTAAGTCTCTGAGGTAAGGCATTAAAACCCAGGCACAAAATGAGTGGAATCAAGCGGGGACCAGTTGAACGACTGGTCCCAGCGTGCGCTGTGCCTGACCTTCGGTCGACGCAGCATTGCATCCAATCCATGGCAGTGTAGATCATCCGATGTTGTTGTGTTGATTTGAATAAGGACTTCGAGACGACTCGGAAGGCCCGTGGGGTCTTGTAGCTTTGTATAGTTTGTAGCTGCATCCAGGGGTGACTTGTTTCTGGCCATGTGCCTCGGCCTCGGCTAGCCATTCCCCCTTCCGTGTTGAGTCCTCGATGTGGGCCTCCAATCCAGTGCAATCCATTGTCATATAAGTCAATGTGCAGCCACGGCGTCAGAAATGTCAAGGTACGGTAAAACCGCAGTGCAATCGTCGTAGTCGCCGTAGCTGCCGTAGCTGAGATTTCGGAGCACTTGTCCTGTACACAAGGCTCCCATTTACCCGACTGCCCAGAGCCGTTCCAGAGCGCTGCGGCTCCAAAGCCTTTTCTTAGATCAGAATACGCCCTATTGCTGCGCGGGACCCCCGTCTTGAAGACTGCGCCCCGGCGTTGGCTGATCGTTCTAATCTCTTACTTGTGCCCGCGTAACGTTTGGGGGTTTGGCACAGGTCTCACGTTTACAGGTGCTCGGCTGCAGATCAGCAGATTCGACAGTTGGAGCAAGGACCTTGGACCCCGCTCTAGCTTGCGTGCCCAGGTCTTTGTATGGCCTTGAACAGAGCACATGTTTTTTCAGTACTTAAACGCCGACTGGGGCAAGATCCTCAGCTTTCCAGCAACAGGTATTCTGCCTTTGGGAAAAAAATTTCACCTGATCTTACCCTCAAAACTAAACCCCTCAATTTCATGAGCTCACCCCCGTGAAAAGCTGTCAAGGCCGGACCTTCCACGATCTCACCTTTTCTGTCGCGACATCGACGAAGGTATCTCGCACGTGACATACGGCTATACCTATCAACAAAGGGTCCCATGAACCTGGAGAGGGCTATGAAGAGAGCTCTGCAAGACTCTGCCACGGAGCGGGTACCCTTTCGCGAAGTTCGTGAGCCATGTTCAACTGCACTGCACCTAAACTCTAAACCCTCAACCCTTGTAAACCCCATGAGTACAGTTTTCAGATTCAAGTTCCAGTGCTGTCACGCGGTCCAGCAGCCCTTGCTCTCCACGTGCCTTCGGGATCGCTGTTGTGTTGCACGGCCGCATTGCCAGTCCAAAGTCATCTGATGCCACAGCTAAGTCAGAGGGTGGTATCCAGACTTCCTCTCTCTTGGAGAGTTGGGCCGAGAGCTCTGGCAAGGGCTTGAGCAGCGCGGTGCTGGTGTGTTCGTCCAACTTCAGTATTTTGCTCAGGTGACGCGGGCAATTCGAAACCGCTGGAACCTAGACCCCATGACTCCCATGGCGCCCATGGCCATACGTGAAGCATTGATTCATCCAATCCGAAGACTAAAGCAGATCTGAAGGGCGTGCTCCATTAGCGCTCCTCTCTGGTGGTGATGAAGCCGATCGGCTGTTGGTGGAAGGGAAGAGGATCGTCCCCCAAGAAACTTCCGTCCAGTCTGTGGCAACAGACGCTCCACGGTCTCAGAGTCTGAGATGTGGTAGCCTTCAGGTCAGAAGCTGCAAGCCAAAGGCTGCTGCAAGTTAGCTCTTTGCCTTTGCCTGTGCCAGCTGCGACCTATTTTGTCCTTGTGTAGGCTTCAGGAGTTTGCCAAACCAATACGATTCTCAACAGCCATCCGATGTTGCGCCAAAGCCCTGTGTGCATCTCTGCAAGCAGCACAGCCACATTTGAAGTTGGGCGTTTCGTGCAGAGGAAGATGCACCGCATGTTCGATTGGGCCGCAGGTTGTCATGGAAGCACAGAGGTTTACCTGAACGACGCCCGTCTGTGAGTGGTGTCCAGCAATCTTGCGCCTCATTGTTGGATCAATGCACTTCTGAAAGGCCAGTTTGCTTCTCAGAAGTTGCTTGTGTTGCCATGCGCAATGTCTGTCAGACCTCGGCATGTGTAGGTCACCTGTCAACTTTACTTCCGGCAGCCAGAGCGGAAGTTGCGCTGCCACCTTCGAGCAAGATGACGCAAGCAGAGTAGTAATTCGGGAAATTTCCCGCCACCATGTTTACTGGAACAGCCAGCCCCTCCTAGCCTAGCAATGAAAAGCGGAGCGCATCGGCATCGGCTCCATTTAAAAAGAGTTGTCCTTGTGTGAGCTGTAGGATGTGGTCAGCCTTGAAGATGTTCTGGCATGCGTTGCATATCCTAAAGTGTAGGACAGCAAAGTACCGAAGATCGCAGCTTAGGACCGAGGAGCCATTTCACGGCCTGTCATGCTTGCAAGCATGGGGATCAGCGAGTGCTCATAAGGTGGAATCTGTCGGCAAGCATTTCACCTCTTTTGGCAACAGAGCTTGAAAGCCTAGGTACTTCGGGTCGAGGTATCCTGCGGCCAATGGAGGCTACTTGCATCTGGCTTTTCCCGGCTTTCGTTGCTGGCTCCATCTTGTGGGCTGTAAGCTGCAAGATTTTTTACCGCATTCGTGGCGAGTTTGGCAAGGATCTCGTCATTCAACGCTTTGGCCAGCACGCCTTCCACGTAGTCAGTGGAGACTACTCCAGCAAGCTCATCTACGAGGAGATCTTTCGCAAGAAGGTATACTTCAAACGTGGAGTTTCTTTAGACGGTTTTGACGACCGGCAAGACCGGCAAGAGAAGGAGCGCAAGCCCTGCGGGCCCTTGGTACTCGATGTGGGTGGGAACCTTGGATTCTTCTCCGCTTTCGTGGCGGAACACTTCAGAGGTTCGAGGCCAGTGGGTGCTAAACGCCGGCCCTACCCTCTAGGAGGGGGCTCCTAACTTAGGAGGTTTAGGATGGGTTTAGGGTTTAGGACCGTTCAGTGCTTACGGGACAATTGTTGGTTGGGGATTCCTAGTGTTTTTTGGGGTAGCTTTTTTTTTGTCTGGGGTACTTTTTCGTCAAATCTAGAAGTCACAGGATACACATCTTCGAGCCTTTGCCCTTGTTGGTGAACGCCATTTCCCTCAACTTGGCCAGCTACGGCTGCGTCGTGTTCCGTGCACATGATGGCCAAACTCTCCTTCGAGATGCCTTTTGGCACCTACATCTGGGGTCTCAGGAGTCTAAGGTTTCTGGTTTAGGGTTTAGGGCTTCTGGTTTAGGGTTTGCTGTGTTTGATTGCTGTTGTGAATCACAGCTCAGCTTGTGCCGTGTGGAGCTGTGTGGCCTTGCTTTTCCCGAGGCTCCTGATGGCACACGAGTCGTGGTCCACCAGACGGCGCTCGGAGCGCACGAGACCGAGCTCCCTCTGACATATCAGAGCCGAATGCTTGCGGGAAGCAGTTTGGTTCCTGAGAGGTTCCTTCCTAGCAACATCGACAAGATCCAGTTTCTACAAGCCATGTATCTGGATTCTGTCACCCTTGGTGCTCTTCCCGCCTTTCCCACACGCTTCCTCTGCCAGCTTCTCGGAGTCCCATGGCTCCGCATTCCCATCTTCCTAGCGCTCACACCACTGATGATCTTGCGTCAGATTCAGCAACGCCTGTCTGGAAACAGGCAGCTGGTGTTCAGAACCCCCGTGAGGACATTATCTAGCATTCTCAAGGAGCAGGGCCTTTTGGGAAAGACTGTGGACTTGTTGAAGGTGGACGTGGAAGGCCGGGTTGTTCATCAGTCTTGTTTTACTCCGGGGTTGGGGATGGTTGAAGCTTCCCCAAGAGACCCAGAACTTCCTAAACCCTAAACCCTAAACCAGGAGCAGAATGGGACGTCCTGATGGGGATTGACGAGCAGATCTGGCCCTGTCTGCGTCAGCTGGTGTTTCTAGGCCGCTCCCAGAAATGTTTTCGTTTTTGGGTGGTGGAAAGTTTCCTTAAGGTTTAGGGTTCTAGGCTTCTAGGGTTCCAGGGTGTATAGGGTTTAGTAGGGTTGGCCCATAGCATAGAATGGAACCTTCCTTCGGCGGTCCCAACTGAGGATAGAGGTGCACGATGGCGATGATGGCCGCGTCCAGAAGATAATGGAGCTTTGCAAGGGCAAAGGGTTCAAGGTGATGAAGATGCAGGAGAAAATCTCTTAACGGCTGGTACGGGTTCCTCATTTTAGCTGGTGTTGGGACGATTCGTTTTGTTTAAGGATGGTTCCGAAAATTATGATCACTCTTTGAGGCTGCAAGCAGAGGCAAGAAGATGTGAGGGATGAAGGGTTTGATGGTCGTGAGGCGGGTAGGAATCAGGGAAGCGGAGTGTAGGGTGGTGTGGCCATACTCGGTGGTGGATGACCACTTTGTTCACATCCTGGCGCGGCCAGGAGGAGGCCTTCGAGCTGCCCAAGCTTTGCAAGATTTTCCTGATCTTCGCCACGAGGTGATGCCGGGGAGCCGTCTGAGGATGTAGAGGGCCGCGTCTATTGCATATATGGCTTCTTGTCTCGTTCTGGCTCGTTCAGTTGTCTGTTGTATGTCTTGCTTTGACGTGTATGATTGTTTTGTTGCAAGTAGCTTTAGTCTGGACCGTGCTGGAGAAGATTTAGGTAGGTGCTTTCCCGCCACGTGCTGGTTACTGCTGGTTTGCCAGTTTGCACCGGCAGATGGGACTTGTAGTCCTTTCTGTCGTTTTTCTTATGGATGCTTTGTTGGGCATGGGAAGTGGATTCATACAAAAATGGCTAGGAATCCGTTGTTGTCAGGATCCCCCAAGGGAATGGTTCTTCGCACACCCTTGCCATCCGTTTCCCAATCAAGCACCATTCAGTTCTACTGTGCAGCCCCTTGTGTCCATGCGATGTGGGAAAACGGCCGCGAAAGAGGGAAGCGCTGTTGGTGGAACGGTACCTCGGACAACGCGGGGGCAAACGACGCCGTGGAACCGAGGAATATGATTTACAACAGCATAAAATCATACAAGACAGCGCAATATGTATATACGAGTCTTTCTGTTGCAGTCTAATATATTTCATCCCTGGGCCGCTGGTCGGGACGGAGACTACCGATGTCTTATGGTTGCAGCTCGAATCCCCTCGGGCTAAGCAGCTACTTGCGTGCATAAGCTCGTATTTCCCAGCATGGCGTCGCTCCTCGCAATGGTTTGCTGGCTTGGCCTGTTCGGTGGCCTTCACGGGCTCGCAAACGACTTCGGAGCCGGGTGTGCCGATGGCCCTGCAAAGACATTGTTGCAGCTTGAACATGTGGTGAAGAGTGTGACAGGGCGCGATGAGGAATGCGGGCGCCTGCACCCGGATGTTTGCGACCCGCAAGCTAATTGGTACTGCAGCAACAATTGCCGCTTTCACACGCACCGAGAAGACTGTTATCGACCCATTCCCGATGTGATGGCAGAGCATCCAGACGTTGATGGGTTTTGCTACTTCAATGCGTCTGGATATTGGATTGTCTACCGAGGTCCTCAACAGGACTTTGGGAAAATTGTGGTCGACAGCATCCTGGCCTTGAGAAGCTCGTCCTACACAGGCCTCAGCGCTGGCCGTCTCATCACGTACCGCTTCGAAGGTCTATCTGTCACGACGCACCTGGACGATGTGAACTACCTCTATGACGACCTCTATGGATACGCGCTTGGTTTCTTGCAGGGGCAAGGCTTGGAACCCAATTGGATACAAAACCGGTCGCTGTGGATGGAGTTGTCCAGACAGAAGTGTGCTGAGCTCCAGGCCACTTACCGCTTCGCCAAGGAGGAGCTGATCTTGGCGGATGCCTTGGACTTCAATGCGGTGCTTGACATGATGGCCAGCTGCAGCGCGCAAATCCCCCACTTCAAGCACGGAAGTTCCGACCGGGAGCTTGAGGAGGTGGCTGGTTGGCACAGTCCGACGAACTGTCGCTCCGTGACGCGCCGCGACTTTGCAAAACACCACTATGCCACTTGGTCTCCACTAAGTCACTCAGTCACTGTCAGTCACGCCTTAACTGTGTGTCGTGATGTGTCGTGATGTGTCGTGATGAAGCTGAATCCTGGAGCAAGCAAGATGACCCGATGATGGATCAGCAGACCTCCTGCAGCTTGTTGCTTTTGGTGTGCCGCACGAAGGACTTCTAGGGATGCCAACATGGATCTTGCTTACATATCCCGTTCTCGTGCAGGTGAAGTGTTTGCTTGGATACCAGAACTCAGCAGCTGACATGGCCTATCTCAATCAACGCGCTTTGTCTTCACCAAGATTTGTTTTTGGCTTGATTCCATTTCCGAAGATCTCCAGTGAACATGTCCTGGCCAAAAGCATGCAGCTTGTTGCCGTGCATTGGGCAGGTGCATGTCTTCTGGAGGGAAATCGCATCGGCCACTTCTCTGAGTGCCCGTATGTGCCTGATGTTGATTTCTAGCGTTCTTCGGGAGTTCTTTAAATCAAGGATACTACTGGTTAGGATCTATATCAGTTGTTGTACAGCGACAGCGCCGGTTAAGAAACAGATATTTTTTCGTGAGGGGGGGCTCGATTTCTTATTTTTGGAGCGCACCTTTTTTTAGTAAAAAACACATGTCGGGACTTGAGCATACCTGGGATTTCTTAACTCA